AATTACTTGAATTGCCTTACAAAGTGGAGCAAGGTTTATGGTAGATAACAAGAAGACAACTCAGTGACAGCAGAAACATATTTGTAGCTCAGTAATAATGTCCTGTCATACTGAATCATAGTGCTTTTTAGACTTGTCTTCATAACGATGTCTCATCTAAAACTAGCACAGTGACTGGATCTTGAATTTGTCTTTTTTTTTGCACCGCATAAAACGCACAATAGCTAAAGGAGTCTCACAGTCTGGACTCCAGAGGGTGTTTTAGGAAGTTTCTTTCTTTTGTGAAGGAGAGATGATCTTTAGTCCAAGCAGCTGTGGGTTAATACGTTGACCAGCAGTCACATTTAAGCTGAATATGTTGATGGGATTTGGATCTTGATGGCACACCTGCCAAATGTATCCGTTGCCTTAATTTTAAATTATGACATACATGTATATATTGTCTAGTATTACCTAGATGTACCGTTCCTACATCTTATTGGTATCTTTTTTATATATATATACAAATGATCTGCACTGTACTATACTCAAAAAATACAAACGTGAGTCATAAATCATCTGAAGTCATCTACTTGCCAGTCTACTGATTAAAGTTTCCTTTATGATCTTTGATATAAAAACCAAGTTTTATTTTATTTTGTATTGTGATTTTAATTTAAACTCCAGTTTGGGTGCAGTTCCTCTGGATTATCAGAAGAGGGAGCAAGTTGTTCATGTGTCTGGATACGGACTCATGGAACTGTGAAGGTCTACAAGTTTATTTTTTCTACTTTGCACATGAGAAGTGTACATAGAGGATATAAAAGAAACTATGATTCTTGATTCTTTTGTCAATAAATCCTTGAATCTAACGCAGATAGTCAAACACAGCTGAACTCCCTGCGTGTTTCAGTTGAGACGCTGCAGCACAGAGGGGAAGTTAAAATTCTGGGTTTTTGTGTTTTTTTCTCAGAACAGTCCGATATGATGAGCTCATTTCCTGGTTATTGAACTTCCCAAGTGTGCTCTGGCAGCTGACGTAGCACATCTTTGCCTACCCACTTAACCTAATATCATCATACATTATGTACTGCTCTGACAGTGCCTTGATGGTTCATGTCAGACTGAGAGAGAAAGAGGGAAGGAAAAGTAGAATTCTTCGTTAAATGCAGCTCATAAAAAGGTTTCATTCATTTTCCTAGAACAGAGGTCTGTGTTTTTTCCCACATGATTTGTGCATATGTGGGACTACTTTCACTCAGTGCATTTGATGCACACTAATAGCCCGAAGGTAAATTGCTCCAGAAGCTGCTAATGGTCTCTAAGTTGAAGTCTCAGTGCACTGATGCCGGGTGTGGTCCTTTTGTTGATGCCAGTTTGATCTCTGCTTAAACTGAAATGTGCTCCATCCACTTGTGACTCGTTGTTTGAAGTTCAGGGCCTTTTATATTAACAGATCAAAATGCAGGCCTGCAGCAGCAGCAGCAGTTTCCTTTTCCTGTCTTATATCTTATATAATGAGTCACTCAATCTGCAGCCGCCTGAGTTTGTGTTTTTGTGTGTTTTTGTGCCACAGGCAGTGTGTGCAGCTGCCTCAGCTACGAGGTGTTTGGGCAGATGGGTGACCAGACCACACCAAAGAAACAGATTTAAAAGAAACTAAGTCCTGTGTATAAAAGCCTTGTAGATTATCAGTCTATCCTAATTCTGTTAAGGATTTCTACCAGAGAGCAGTGCTGAGCCACACCCTTGTGTAACAACATTATGAAGCAATCTGAAATGGATGGGCAGGATGTGAGGGGGATTTAGTAGCTTTTTCAGCTCTATGGTGATAAAATGATGGATGGATGTTCTTAAAAGAAGGAGCCTGAAACGGTTTACTGACATACCAATATGTGCAAATATGTTTTAAACTTGTTTTTAAATGATATACAATACAATTCAAACTGCATACTAAAATGAGTTTGAGCTGCGGGATTAGTAAAACTTTAGGGAGAGTTTGGGTTTCCCCCCCTCGCTCTGGCACAGGGCCTCTAGCCGACTGGAAAGGCTGACAGGCTGCTGATGAAACAGCTGCCAGAGTCCTGTAAAGAGCAGGGATGGAGGGGCAGAGCTTCGATTTGACTCACACTCTTCACTGAGGCACATTGAGAATGTGAGTGCTGACGAGTCAGTGGTTGATGATTTCTGGTAAACCTTCATTCCTCCCTTCACTCATCTCTTTTTGCCCCACGGTTTTTCTTTTAAATGTCTCCATTCTTCCTCTCTGAGTTTTTCTTTTTTTGGGGGGAGAAAACAACAGTTAATGTCAGATGTCTCGACCCATTCACTCTTTCTCTCTCTGTGAGTTGCAATAGTCTTTGTATGGCTTCTCCCTTTTCATTGATTTCTATTGTGGAGAATGCAGCTGCAGCTCAACATTTAAAAAAAAAAAAAAAGCATTCAACTTGCAGCTATTGTGGGCTTGTACCATAGGGAAGTGGACACTACTGCAGAAAATGAACATTTTAGAGAAACTTTCTTCATTCTGAAACAATCTGTTTTATTCAGGCAAACCCC